ATATAGTGTCTACTTTGAAGGAACAGTATCATCACATAAAATGTATATACGAATATTACTCGCAGAATATAATCCATCATTTTCTCGTTGTCACGGCGACGTCTGATGAAACTTGCTTTTCCCTCATCCAAGACATATGAACTACACTTAATGGTAGTCAGTCCGTCTGTAAGAATATTAAAACAAAGGCTGGTGGAATATTGTCATCCATTTAATTTTATAAATATAAGCTTGTCAACAGTAGAACAAAATAAATCGTAAATTATAAATCCAATCACTCACCGTCTCTAGAGACATTCATTACAGGGGCTTCCACATCACGCATGTCACTAGACGGTGTTAGAACGTCGTCGAGATTGTCAGCTTTTCTCGTCCATATTGAAATAACGACAGCTATAAAGATAGCCTAAATTTTGAGAAAGAATATGTAAATTAGCTACAAATATGATGCCGTGATTGCCAACCGTTTACATTATCGGGATACAAACTGCAAAATGTACAAGGGTGTATATGACTTCGATTTCAAAAACTCATTGATGAAATGCCCGTGCTCTAGTACAAAGTGCAATTTATTATCCGGGATAAACTCCACATACGAGTAAATGAAAACATGCATGAGTGTGATTTATTCCGTTAGTAAATATGCGCTTAATCAGATTAAATACAGTTGTTAATAATAATGTTATTACATTATAATGTAATATCAACTATAATGTACTATGAGGTTATTACGAGGATACTGCAAAGTTTGCACGAATTCAGTACAGCAGAAGTATGCGGAGGACGATTCGACCGTGGACTGTCTAGTATTCATCTTTTCCTCCCCGGAATACACCATAGGAATGTCGAAAATCAAAACGTTTAGAACAGATTTAGCGAACTTCTTTGTGTGGAGTCCGGTCAAACCCTGGGGGCAGCCATGTTTGTTTTTATTCTTAGAGGATGCTTACGCGCGTAATCGTTCCATGTTTGGAGTTCGCGTTTCTTAATATGGTAGAATGAAAATACCCAGTGCAATACCGCAGAATTACGGCACGCTGTAACTTATGGCGTTACGGTGACAGATATATATATAATAATATAATGTATTATTACCTTACTTAAAGCGGGGGAGTCGTCACCTGCGCATGCGCCAGGTGGCCATAGCGTGTCATTGTTTGCAAACAAGAGTCTACCCATGAGCCTTTGCGTTATTAGCGTGTGTTGTTATCATCGCTTGGGACTCAATTCCCACTCGTGCGCAGGTGCCGACCCTCCACCTTTAAAAAGCATATCTAGAAAGTTTCGTTCTGTCATAACGATTATCAGTACATACGATGCATTAGCGAGAATATTAGCGCAAAATATAACTATTCAAGCTATAGGTGACCCGGTCAATTTGAATACCATCGAACACGTTATGTCCACCAATTAGATTAAATGCAACATAACTTGTGTTAATTGGTTTACCCGCCAAGTGATTAAAGTAAAAATCCGGTTATGTACTATAAAGTTTCAAGTCAAATCAGGGTCGTTTAATGTTGATAAACAGCGCAGTTAGTACTAATGGACACGTGCAAAATGAGATTGACGTTCGGCTCAATACTACTCACTTTCATAGGATCTATAAAACAGGTTGATTCGAAATATGATGTGATAAACGACAACAACCACTCCTCAGACTGTATTGGTCCCCATTCCATGCTGTATAAAATGATGAAAAACGAAGAGACGAGAGTGACGATGATCGTAATTGTCCACGCATTGTCCACGCAATGTACACCATGGTCATTTGGCATTCCCAGATTTACGAAACAGTTTCACTACAACCATGTTAACAGGCAACACAATGAAAGCACTGATGGTAACAATGTAAACCAGACCCAACATTTCAGTCAATATTGAATCACTTCGTACTTCTTCGTCATCATTTGTTTTGTAAAACACAGCGTTTGTTAGCGTGACACTGAATATCAAACAGAGGCAACATGACAGACGCCGTAAACGCGTAAAGTTGTCTTTCAGTGGACGAAGAACATGACAGACGTCGTACAACCGCTAGCCATTTCTCGCAGGGGAAACGGTACCTAGAAAAACGAAATGTGTGTATGTACATTATAAATATATAATCTTCCAGAATGGATTACCGAAACTAGGAATAAGACTCGAATATAAATATAAATATGAAAGATAGGTTGTTAATGATATTAAATCCAAGTTATATTATTCATAATGACTGTGAAGTGTAGGTGTAGGTATGTACGTGTAGTATATGTATGTCATGTAAATGTTTAATATTTTCCAAGCAGTGTATGTGGCGTTATTTACTTGCACATGTAAAATAAAATTATTTGCATTCTGCTCTCTTTTAATTCACTTGTATGAACAACTTTGGAAAAATATGCATCGTGCAACATTGTGTAAAAAATGTTAAAGACCTTATAAAGCATATATATTTTTGTTTGTTTGTTTGTTGTGCATCACCCTCCAGTAATGGTTACTCTTTCCAACAAATGTAACAAAATCAAACAACACATGCCAAAGATGGTTCTACACATGTCAATATTTACCGAAAATATTGACAAATATGTGTGTGTGCATGTCACGATGTACTATCTATATTTTTTGTTTGAAGTTATTGCTCAAAGCATGAATGAGATAAGATACATGTCTAAAATAGAAATTGTCAAAAACAAAATGGCCACCAGGTGGTCTTTTTGAGTTGAATTTAAAAATCATGCATCAACTATTCATAATGACTAATTCATAATAACTAAGATTGATGTGAATTGGCATTTAAAAAAATCAATTTTAGTTTATTTTTAGTCATGAATATGTGTGTTTCAAGCAAAACATTGAGACATAATGGCAGCTCTCACTGATGTAACGAACACTGTTGCTTTGAAAATTACCAGTTTATCGACATGATTGCCATCCATATATACTATATAGCGTGATTTTTCTAGTGTATACATTGTAGATGATTGTTGTTGATTTTCTGATGTGGACAGGCCATTTAAAATATTATTAGCATGGAATTTGAACATTGATAGACACGAGTTTATAATTTACTAAACAATTACTTAGTCTGTATTATGAGTATTAGTGATATTATATTCGCTATTTAGTTATGTTATACATGTAACGTTCAGAGTTTTAAAAATGATGTTTGCTGCAAATTATGCTCATAAATAAATAAATAAGTATTATTTATTATTGAAAATTTAGGATTTCTGGGACAAGCACCAAACATTTACCATAGTTATCTAGCAAGATTACTAGCTTAGTTGGGCATAATTAGAAATGTTCATGTTATGGTTTTGATAGTTGAGTAATTAGTATTTAGTTTTATATTACAGGATTTAATAACCTGCGATGATCATCAATGCTGCTAAACTGTGATATTACTTTGATGATAACCAGAAACGTCTAACCTGGAATTATATCCACAGTAGTGAGTACAAATTTATTAGTAATTTTAAGGTCATTAGTCATTTTTTTTTATTGCTATATCATAATTGAATGGTGATCAAAAACATCTCTCGTACATTAAGACTGGGTGCTATTTTATGCAAGCTTATCTTTCTGTCAGCCTTGCCAATGTGCAAGGTTGGTCAAGGTATGTCTGAGATAGTTATTGTAAACATGCATAAAGAGTTCTACCGGTAACTCATAAGACTGCAATGTAACAATCTCTCCAGTGTGCTCTTCCATTGCACAGTACTCACAAGATGTTTTTAAATAATGATAATTTTTCAAACCACAATACAACACACATATATACAACCATAAAAATTACAATAAACAGAAAATGAAAAAAAAAATATTTTAATAATAACTTTAGTTCTAAGTATTCCCTGAGATACATACGAATTATATATTAATTGAAAACTCAAACCATTTGAAGTAGTGACAACAAATTTCAACTTGAGTCATCGTTCACAAAATAAATTTGTATATATTTTTTACGACAATGTTGATCAAGCCCTTGTAGCTAATAAGAAATTACTACAATTTTGTCAAAAATTAACAAAAAAAATATTAGCAAAAATACATGAATATATGCAAAAAAAAATGCACGAAAACATTATTGGGGAAAAAAGCTGATATTAATCATTTTCTGCCAATGATAATATATTCCAATACTATTATGGTGATTAGTCACAGTTGTTGTTTCATCACCACAAATAGGAAAGACTGTTTTTATGACAACATACATTATGCATATGATTTGCACTATTTCTACTAAACATAATACAGGAGAGATACAAGTAAAATTCTATAATCAGTGCTCTCAATTGGCACAAAAATCAATAAAAGCTCAAAAAAACTCTGTGCTGAGCGTAATATGACGCAGAAACGGGAAATATTTAAAATAATTGAAACTTTATCAGATTCAGAGAGGTGCTAATGTGTCATTTTATATAGTGAAACTATACTTACCTTACCCCAATCAATATTGATATCTGTATATTGATTGGTTTTAACGTAACTATGGCATAATGTAGTGAAATTTTATACAAAAAACCTGGTGATTAATTAAATCTGATCTTTTAGAGATGCACAATGTGAAAATAAGTATTAAAATTTGTTATACTAAAAGAAATATGTTACTGCAGCATAAGAAAACAATGTTGATTGAACATCTGTGGTTTGCAGTCTGTGATTTATCCTAGTCTGCCATGTGTTTAATTGTGACCACCTCTATATAATACTACCTGTCTATAGTGACCACTTTTAGGCAGTCTCAAGGTATAGCTTATGAGTACCTTGTCTATAAAAAAAACACCTATCTTATGTTGACCATTCTTTCAGTAATATTTTTTGACAAATTTTCCGTTGTTTAGAGAACAAACAACAAAATAAATTGTTGCAGTAGTACCATCTCATTTTACGTCGAATGTATGAATTGGTGATCCCAAAAAAATATAAAAATCAATATTAAGATCATTTTAATACAAGACTCTTGGATGTTCCTTATATGCAGAAAAAATGTCTCGTTGTAAATAGTAAAATGGTTTTCATTCTTGTGGCTGTTCCTGGAATGTTTGTTTGTTTGTGAACACTTCATAATCTTGCACAAGAAAATGATACTCCCCCATCAGAATATTTGCGACAGGATTGTTGTCATGTTTACCATAGGAATGTGGAAAGTTTGAATATGACTGTTTGTTTGTATGGCAGTTGCTTGATATGCACAAGTCAGCTCCACCTCCAAATATTGGTCCATACCTGTTAGAAATGTATGTAATAATTCATTTGACCATGACATTGATAATCAGTTTGGTTGTGATGAAGACATGGAAATCAGAAACATGCACAATACATTAAAAATGATGAAGAATTCCACAGAATCATAAGTTATCACGATCATTTCATGAAGTATCTATACAAGGAAAAACAAACAAGCTGCTTTCTGATTGGTCTAACTGGTTTTAGTGCTTGGTAGCCAATCAGGTGCCATCTTGTAAGTAGCTTTGCATTCACTCTCATTATACAGATTGCAACTGAACATTAATAGATCATTTTCTGTTCACTGCAAGATCCTGCGGTTATGCGTAAAATGCGTGGTCAATTTCAATGAAGTAAGGGTATTCAAATGCAATAATCCCCTGTCAAAGATCGGCCCTTCGATGTGAGCTATGAAATAATGAAATTCAAGTTCAAAATCAAATCCTTTGATTTTTGCGGCAGACGTACGGCGTGTGTCTTTCACGCAACTTGCAATCTCTCGCAGTTGAGCGAAAAATCAACTATTTGTATTAGATAATTACACTATATAAATACATACATATGCATGTGTGGGTAAACAGGTGTGTAGATATATACATCATCTATGTATCAGTAATAACAAAAACAATCATAGTCTTTACCAAAAATGATGAGGCAGTGCAAACCCAGGTCATAATACTGAAAACATTAGAGACTGTCTTCAGTGACACCTAATTTGGTACATTCTTATATATGAGGTATATTTTATTTTATTTTTTTAAATGTTTTTTTTGTGCCAGGCGACAGTTCCGAACATTGAATGTCACTGTTGTCTCTCCTGACTTTTATTTTGTATGTGCAAATTGCAAGTGCTAGTGCTGACACATGGTGCATTTTTGCCACAGAAGTCATATTCATATTTGGGACTACATGACAGGGCAGCCATCTTCCTATCAAATGGCAATTTAATGCACTATCTTGGCGTCAACCAGGCTCGGTCGAACACAAGCACCTGCGAGCCTTAACCAAGATTCCCCCAAAGTTGCATTTGTTAGTGAATGAATCTCGGCCAATGGAATTGGCCTTCCCATTGAGTCTGTGGCACACTCACCCAGGGTAGGGGTCAACCCTTTGATGTTCAGTCTATGGTAGGATTTGAACTCAGATCTACCGATCATAAGTCTGATGCGACAACCACTATGCTACCAGTGACAGGTTAGTTATATTTTATTTTAAATATCATCCCTTTTAAAAGTAGATCAACACAGTTCCAAAATATTTCTTGAAAATTGACAGATACTTTGTGCATAGATTATTGCCATATAATGTCACATGTAAAAACAAAAATGTTTGACATAAACATGATATTATTGGATGCACAATACATGCGAAAACATAAAACATTACCCATGCACTTAGAAAATTTAATTTGAAACACAAGATGACAAAACAATGTGTCAGAAACTTTGTTTTCAAAAAAAATATTCAAGACTGCAGAACACTCATTGTTCACTAATTTTGCCTTATACTTATGCCTAAAATAAAAAATATATATATGTAGGAAAAATATATAAAAATAAATAAATATATATATATGTATATAATGATAAATGGGCTTTATCAGCCAACAGAAGATGATATTGGGCTAATGAATTATTTTGGGATGACGTGACAGCCAAAGCGCCCTCCACTGGCCAAGAAGAAGTAGCTTGTGGGTACCGACAGTGAAATTGTCCGGTCTCTTTTTATGCCCCTTACAGACAAGCCAACTGATGAAGCTGGTCAGTAGAAATTATAAAAGTAAGGGCGAACAGTCTTTGGTTGAAATGCATGGGTTAAGTGTCAGTGTTTTATTTACATCCACATAGTTTTAAAGCTGCGTATATGTATACCAGTATGTGGCTCTTATTTTCAAACGCTCTAGGTGTGTTAACGAAATGCCTGAGAGACTGTTATAGCATGTAAACGCCCTCATGCAGCTTTACGTGGAAAATGCCCGGTGATGTTCCTGTTGTCACTCATACTACGTCATACACTGATCAACCAACCATGAGCGAAATGGGTCACCAATAAACAGGAAGTAGTAGTAGTTTGAGTGACAAGTTTACACTCTGTAAAATAATAATTTATAAGTCTTAACCCTTTCACCACCAGTTCCCTCTTTTCATCACAAATTCACAAAATAGTCACGTTTATAGTCTGTACTTTCTTTCAAAAGATTAGGACAAAAATAGCCACATTTTTTGATTAAAAACTGAAAATTGACTCAAATTATGTCTGTTGGCTGTAAAAATTAGGGTTCATTTCCAGAAATATTTAAGAATTTGGGTGAGGAAGTCTGGTGATGAAAAGGTTAAATAACATGGTGGCATATTTAAAAATTGAGCTGTTTTTATAGTATATAACAGTAAAAATATAGTGAATTAATTAATTTAAAATAAATAATACAGAAGACTGAATAGGTTAACTTACCTGGCATGATGACAAACTGCCAACTTGTTATTATTAATTTTGTATTTTACTGGTGGTATTCCTTCTGTATTAACTAGACTAAACAAATATGTCCTGTTATGAATATATAATGAGATAGTGTTAGTTTGGAATGTCTCTATTTGAACACAGAGGGCGCCATTTGAGTTATGTTCAGTTTCAAACCATCTACCTTGTTATATGAATATATATATAGCATGCCAATAACACAAGGTATAACTCCCTTATGGTGGTTGAATAGACCATCATCCAGCTCACTGTGAGATTCTGCGTTAAGTATGAAATCGAATATTTTGACGGTCATAGACAATACCTGTGAGCGGGAGTTGAAGATATTGTTTGACATATGCGATGTCGACAGATTTTATCTAAACAGTAGTTGGGACCAGTGTTGACCACATTGAACTCATTGTATTGGTTGGCCTATTGCTAAGAAATGCTACTCCATGCGTAGAGTTTTTTGAAACCTTGAAAAATCATTGATTTGGAGTTGACAGAAAGTTGTAAGAGGGGGGGGGGGCAAGGTAGGTAGCTGGTACAGTTTTACAGGAAATAAAAAGGGATTTTTACAATTTACAAGGAAAAAAAGATTTTTTTACAGTTTACAGTGAAAATTGAATTTTGCAATGAATTGTGTCATCTAGTCATTTTACAGTTTCGAAAATGTAATTTCCCTGGATTATTCTTTACGACTTTTTTTATTTGGATGTAAATTTTTGTACGTACCGAGAAAAATGACACATATTTACAGTGTACAAAAAAATATTTGATTGATTACGTTGTACGTCTAGCCTGTGATTACAGAATTACGGAATTTATTTTTTCACTTTACGCTGTACGAACAAAAATTGCAGTTACGTTGAACGAAAATAACCCTTGCCCCCCCTCCCCCGCCCCTGTAAGGTTATATTATAACAATTCCATAGACCATATAGAATGACAACGCCAGTGGTGACATCATTTGCTATTAATAATCTTAACGGAAGTCTTTACAATTGGTTTAATGTCCTAAAGATTATAAGTCACTGTTTTTTTGTTTGTTTATTTTTAATAATTTTTTCGTGCCAGGCGACAGTTCTGGACATTGAGTGTCACTGTTGTCTCTCCTAAATTTGTTTTCTTTATGAGCACATTGCAAGTGCTAATGCTGACACCTAGTGTATTTTGCCACAGAAGTCATATTCATGACTACATAACAGGGCTGTGTGGCCATCTCTCTGTCAAATGGCAATTTGAATGCGCCATCCTGGCGTCAACCAGGCCTGGTCGAACACAAGCACCTGCGGACCTTAACCAAGGTTCCTCCAATGTTGCATTCGTTAGTGAATGAATCTCGGCCAGTGGAATTGGTCTTCCCATTGAGTCTGTTGCACACTCACCCAAGGGTAGGGGTCAACCCTTTGATGTTCAGCCTAAGTCACTGTTATGTGATTGGTCGTTTAGTGCAACTTCAGAGGGCAGGGTTTATGTTAAAAAATGTATCAACTTTATATGTTTTTAGTGAGTAGTAGAAGTAAACAGAAAAGAGTTTTAGTTTGCGTTGGTTGGCTTCAGCAGCCAGATAATGGAGAAGTTGTTACAAAGCAACAACAAGAAATGACAATTTTCATCATCACAGAACTGTTAAGGAATCATCTATCAAATGGTCTTAGAAACGATTGACTCATGTTTAGTAATCTAGAAACCAGGAAACTTTAAATATTAGTTTCTTATATACCTTTCTGATGCGAAATATTTTCCCCTAGAACCATCACCACTGCTCCATGGTATGTCAGTAAAACCACCACATATACACCCATCATTACCCTATCGTATAAAGACAGTGGAACAGGTCAGTCATTATCCCTGGATTAACAGCATGTCAAAAGGGGGCAGTATTTACATTCAGTGATTAGCAGAGCACACAAATACTGTAATAGATCCTGCTATAAGTCAAACAGGGTGGATGTGTGATACAGAAACCCTCATTTTATTCAAAATTGTTATCAAGATTTTTTGTCAATAAGAAAGGGTGTTAATTTCACCCGAAATTGTCAGAAACAAATTATGAAAAATGACATTAAAACAGGAAAAAAATGTTGCACAAACATTTTGTTAATAATTTCACTAAATTGTGCTATATTAGAAGTTTAATCTAAGTAATAGTTTCTGGTCTGAATTACCGTAGTTTGCATTTGGTTTATCTGTTCGAAGAAGAGATTGCATCATTTTGCTGCACATCCAGCCAATTCTGCCATACATGGTGATTTTAATTAACATAATACATTTACATTCAGGAAAAGGTAATGATAATAATAATAAATAATTTATAGATAATAATAATATAATAATTACAATTTATATAAATATAACTTTTTGTGCACTGATAAGGACCGTGAAAAATAGTTGGGTAGAGCTAACAGACATCAAAAAATGTGATTTGATTGGGATTTTGGATCTACCCCTGTGATCACAGACCCTTTAATTCATCCACCCCTAGATACCTGTATTATAATGTATGTCGGTGAGAAGCCATCGCAGTGATCATGAAAATTATCAGCACTATAACCATTCATGGAGGCTCTGTACAATAATCGCCATTCAACAATAGGATTACCATACCTAATAGCAAAAAAAATTATCTGCCTTTCAATATTTTTTGGAAATTCCCAAAATTTTAGTTTCCCTATTATGTGTAGTATTAAGTATGTCCCTAGCAATAAAATGGCAAAACATTTTACCATGACAACAATATTTTACCATGACAGCAATGTTTTACCATGACAACAATATTTTACCATGACAACAATGTTTTACCATGACAACAATATTTTACCATGACAGCAATGTTTTACCATGACAACAATATTTTACCATGACAACAATGTTTTACCATGACAACAATGTTTTACCATGACAACAATATTTTACCATGACAACAATGTTTTACCATGACAACAATGTTTTACCATGACAACAATGTTTTACCATGACAACAATATTTTACCATGACAACAATGTTTTACCATGACAACAATGTTTTACCATGACAACAATATTTTACCATGACAACAATGTTTTACCATGACAACAATATTTTACCATGACAACAATATTTTACCATGACAACAATGTTTTACCATGACAACAATGTTTTACCATGACAACAATATTTTACCATGACAACAATGTTTTACCATGACAACAATATTTTACCATGACAACAATGTTTTACCATGACAACAATGTTTTACCATGACAACAATGTTTTACCATGACAACAATGATGTTCTACCATGATATTTTACTTTGACATTAAAGCATAAGGGTCATCATATGCGCATACGCGGGAATAGATTCCCAATCGACGATAACAACACACGTTAAAAAACGTAAAGGCCCAGGGGTAGACACTTGTTTGTAAACAATGACACGCTATGGCCATCTGACGCATGCGTAGGTGACGACTCCCCCACTTTAATGTCACAACAATGTTTCACCATGGCAACAATGTTTTCTCATAACAATAATCATTCTTCCATGGCAACATTGTTCATATATCATGCTATTCCATGACAACCATGATCCACCAAAGTGATGTTTCACCATGGCAACAATGTTTCAATGAAAAAAATGTTTGTATCATGTTTTACCAAGATAACCGTATTTCACCATGACAAAATTTAACTATGATAACAATGTTTCACCATGACAAGCATGTTTCACTATAACAATAACCATTTTTCCATGACGATGTTCTACTATGGTGTGTTCACCATGACTATGTTTTCCATAAACACCAAGTTTCACAGTGACAGTGTTTTCCCATGGTAACAATGTTTTACAATAATTTTATTCTTCCATAACAACAATGATATTACACTATGGTGTTTCACCATGGCAACATTATTTTACCATAACAATAATAATTTTTCCCATGACAACAATAATGTCCTACCCTGCCAATAATCATGTACTATTTTTATTCTAACAATAGTACGCAGTTATGTTTTTTTTTAAAATTCTATGGAGGACAGAATGTGCAATGTGGAGTGGACTATGTCTAACGATGACCTACCAGTTGTTAAGGTCACGTTGGTACTTTAATTTATCGTCATTTAAGAGCTTGGTTCCATAAAAGAATCTATTGCAAACTCTTGGCATCAAATATAAATCCTCTGTTGAGTCGAACTGCGTCGGCATGGCAGCAATGCGATACCTGAAACAAACACAAATGTAAACATTTGTAACGTTTTACGAAGATGTCAACCAAACAGAGTGTTTGAGTGATATTGACTGACACTGATGTGTTTTGACGGTGGCGACCGGGTCAAATTTGTAGAGTATTTAGATTTTGTCCACGATAAATATATACAAATATATGTTTTTTAAATAGCTTGCTTTGTGAGCGGTTTTTGAACACTACTGCTGGAGGTGTGATCAGAATACATCAGTCACGATATCTCAAAAGTTATAGTTACAACATGAAAAAAATCATGCAGGGAAAGTTTTAAAGATTTTTTACTATTTTGCTCAGTTCAGGGCTTCCTAAAGCAGTTGGATCAAGAGATAAATAATAAACAATTAGTATTTCAAGTGAAACTTAATTTCTGAACATTGAAAGCGCCCTCTAGTGCTGAAAACAAAAACGTAAATTCAAAATGGCAGCTCACACTGACGTAACGGTGTTACTTTAAAAATCATAGAACATACCAGTTTATAGAAACAATATGGTACTATATAGGGCAAGTTTTCTAGTGTATACTAGTGATCAGCTATTTTATTTACCAAGATAGACTTTGGCGATCAAAATGAAGTTACAGAAAAAAAAAATCAGCTTCATTCTCCTGATTGTTGGATCACTCTAGAGACAGTCTTCGGAAATATGGACCCCTTTTCAGACAGAGGTGGTGAATTTGGTACCCCTTTTGGTGGCTCATATATATATAGCACTTCAATGTGAGTACCAATGGGTAGGGGTGTGGAGTCCGGTCAAACCCTGATGGCAGCCATGTTTAATATTAGAGGCTGCTTACGCGCGTAATCATTCCACATTTGGAATTCGCATTTCCTTATATAATAGGATGAAAATACCCTGTAAAATACCACAAAATTACAGCACACTGTAACTTATGGCATTATAATAACAGATGTATAATAATAAAATTTACTCGTCCAAATAATGTCATATAACTGCGTTAAAAAATGTGAAAATGTGAGTGCCTTCCTTTTTTGGAAAAATGTGCATTATCAGCATTTACATCGCATTTAAACATTTTCCTTTGTTTACTTCAGATGCAGAAGTGCCACCAAATAAAAATAGAATCATGTCACTGTATGCAAATGTTCACACAGCATGAAAACTGCTGTTACCTCTCATTAAATTATTACTACATGCAAAGAAAAGATGTATAATACTAAGGTTATCTCGAGAATACCTAAAAGTATGCACTCAGGCAGTACAGTGTGAAACTTTCTTCATTTCAGGCTATATCTCTCATTAAATTATTACTACAAGCAGGAAAATAATACTAAACCCAAATGTGTAATAATAAACTAAGGCAGTATGGTAATGCATCAACCTCTGCTACGTGCCAGTCCATACAATCACAGTACTGCCTTTGTACATACTTTGCTGTATTCTCGTAATAACCCCACAGTATGTGTAAAGATTTGATGTGATTCGTCAAGACATGTCCCAGATATGACTCCAGAGAGTGTTTCCATACAATCACAGTACTGTCTTTGTACATACTTTGTGGTATTCTCGTAATAACCCCACAGTATGTGTAAAAATTTGATGTGATTCGTCAAGACATGTCCCAGATATGACTCCAGAAAATGTTTCACGATAAATATATACAAATATATGTTTTTTAAATAGCCTGGTTTGTGAGCAGTCTTTGAACACTACTGCATTCATTAAAACATCCATTAAAACAGTTCAGGAATAATTGTGAATAATTAAAGCAAAATTAGGTTGAAATAAGATATTAGTTCAAAACTCTTAAAGACATACAATTATGCATTTCTCAAGTTAGACCCCAACACCTAAAACTACTCCTCTGGGGGTTATACCTTCCTTTCTTGAAGCTTGGTTTAATTGTATCACAATATACTGCTCAGAAAGAATATTCACTGGGTTTAATTTTAGTGGATTTAAAGTTGCAGTCATGTCCACTATAGTTTTCAAATTCATTGGCTCATGAAGGAAACAATACATTATACTGGTAAATCTGAATAGTCACTGGTATTTTATCAATCAGGGTAAAATATTAAATGCAGCAAAATAAAAAGAACACCTTCAAAGATAGCAGGATCCATAGCACCAAGAGCCAAATGATTTCCAAGAATTTTCCAGATCTTTTATCAAACTTTCTTGCATTTTTCCAATTAAGTCATTTTGACCCTTAATTCAGGCCAACATCATCACCAAAGCTCATCAATTGGGGTAGAATCACTTTATAAAAAAAGACTATGCAGAGAAAACAGGCTTTTCTAAAATGAATTAATAAACAATGAAGAAATTTATTTATATTATCAGAGGTACATTACTTGGGGTTTGCAACTCGCATAGTACTGTATTATGACATCATGTCAAGATCCCATTCAAGTCTCATCTCGTAGATAGCGAGACTGAGGCTACGACCTTCTGACATGAAATGTATCCCCCGCCAGCACTATATACTGGGGCATAATTAAACCTCCATACCATATTACCTTTGTAGTGATAATTCCATTGGTACAGCACCAGTTGGCTCAACTTCCTCAGCAAACACTGAACTATCTATCAGTAATAACTTGACATGGTTGATTACACCAGACAGTTGCTGCAACCAATCAGAATACAAAACTCACAACTAAAAGTTTATAGAATAACCAATCAAAATTAAGATATAGAAACTAGCAACCAATCAGAATAGAGAAACAGGAGTTACTGACCAATCACAATAAAAAGTAGAAACTAACCAATTGTGAAAAATATATACCAACAGCATTAGAATAATTTGTATAAAAAGCAGCCATATTACAGATATCAAATGACTTACCTGGCCCACTTTCTTCCTGTCTTCATCTGACCATTCAATGGTATCTTTGTTAACATTGGCTTGCCGTTTAGCCCAAGACAAAACACATCGCCAAACATCATCTTCGTTTAAAGAAAACTGACAAGAAATGTATAATATCAGAGGTACATTACTTGGGGTTTGCAACTACGGTGACATGATACCAAGATCCCGTTACAATCTCGCTATCGCATAAGCGTTCCAACTCAGAAAAATGCGAATGCGCATGCCCGAGGTAACTAGGATACTGGGATGTCCAGGTGGATCAAAATAGCTGCCCACGATATGACGGATTACGAGAACTATATTTTCTGTACATTTTCGATGTATTACATTTTTCACTATGATAGTGACAAGAAAAGTTTTATTTTTTCATTACAAACCTTGAACATTGATATATTTCATGTCAGAAGGTCGTAGCCTCAGTCTCGCTATCTACGAGATGAGACTTGAATGGGATCTTGACATGATGTCATAATACAGTACTATGCGAGTTGCAAACCCCAAGTAAATGTACCTCTGATAATATATATGAAAAGCTTTAGAATCAAAATTACAGTTGTATTAAATAACCAAGCTTTGTGACACTGAGTATGGCTTTTAGTAAAATATAGCAGCCTAGAAAGCACAGATAAACCCATACACAGACACTGACATTAATTTACAAGCACTTCATTGGGGGTGCTAATTGAAAACAAAATAATGTACAACAATAACTCTAAAATTTCATATTGCAGACTATCATAATTTTCTAAAGTTTCATCCATGACGGAATTGTGCTGTTGCTGCTACTCCAAAAGTACTTTCCTAATACCATGTGTTAAAACCAATGGAAAAATGAAAACGCCTAGCAAAGAATATCAAGTACATAGATGTACACAAAAAATAGTCACTTTTTTTCGAATTTCAAACAATCATTCATTTATGGTTTGAAAAACAAAAAATGTTAATTTAGTAGTTTGCAATACAAATGTATATATATGTAATTTTCAACTTTGATCTACTATGAGAGAATATTTTAGAACACTTGATAGATTCTGTACAAAACCGAGATGAGATGTTATCTCAGGCGCGAGTTGTTCTGCCGTGGTGTCCTTCGACGTGACAGGTCAAGAATGCCATTAACAATTCAGAATGTGGTATTACCATCAACAGAGATATCTTCTGAATATTGGCAATCACAAGAAACACACTGCAAAAACGACTTGCATTATTATCAAAAATAGAGTATGACCTGTTAGCGACAATTTTGATAATAAAAAATCTTTGAAAATTATACATTGAGCACAGAATTAATTTACAGATATGGTCGTTACATCTTACTTATTTAAAAAACGTACATCTAATTAATGCAACATCCAGTAATTTTCCTTTGTCCATATCAGGCACTGATTGCAATCTTACCTAATAGAATCTTCAGAGTTGTCAATCCAATTAGATTGCAAAAATACAGAGGGTGAACAGTGAATATCAGATTATGCATAATTAACATACTGGACATCCAGGCATTTTCACTGCCTGCCAAAAATCACTGGTGAAAACAAAGGATGATAACTCTCAGGAAACTGTACTTTGGGCTTGTATTGTTGAGATTACTTCTCTGAACATTGTAACAAGACTACCCCTACATCTTGACTTTAGC